GTAGTGGGTCAGTGAAATAACCTGGCAGATTAAAGAGCCTTGGTCTGGACATGACATGGTGACACGCCTGACGGACAGTATTACACCGTATAAGTTAGAAGTTCATGTTAATTGCGCACACCTATATAAGTATTTATACGAAAATAATTATGCGAGGAAAAATTCTCACTGGGACATTTCCAAGTTGAGGGTCTGTAGAAGTCTATGGCATACATTTTTGACCCGAAGACAAAGGTACAAAGTTGTATGACTGACATGAAATTAATAGTGGATGAGATATAAAAATGGAAAACGAATTTTGACTGTCACAAAAAATATTTGACCGCAGTCAGAAATTTTAGGCTCAGCATCGGCCATACTGGGTCAAACCATTCATAATGATTGGTGTTAGTACTGGAGGGTATTTTTCGTAGTAGGAGTTACAGTGGCGAATCCAAAGGGGGATGGGGGTCCGGGGGTTGGAACCCCCCCTTTTTTTTGGGACGATCAATGCATTTGAATGGGGACAAATGGTTGGACCCCCCCCTTTTTTTTCTCCTGGGTTGGGAACCCCCTTTTTAAAATGGCTGGATCCACCCCTAACTGTTATGGATCACTCTTCTTTACACGGGACAATCATCTACATCCCTTCCGAGGAATTGGTTGCCTATTTGATACTATGTAAATCCTTACAACCGAAGATGGCCTTGTGGGGAGTCCATTAGTCATATTCCAATACATGGGGTTGACTTCTTAATTTACTTTATTTAACTTCAGTATTTTATTTGATATCAATCTTTATAATTCTCAAAAGGACCACTCCAACCTGAGACTACTATATCACATGTTATAGTAGTCTCAGCTCCAACATACAAAGTAATAGACAATTATAATTACAATTTATTATTCTTGTTATATTTTTTGCATGGTGCTTAACAAAATTAAAGCACTTTCATGTTGAACAATGTTTGGTGGCGGATCCAGGAGTTTATAAAGGGAGTATAATTCCAGAAAATGGTATATATACCGCAAAGAACGAGCGAGGCAAAAATGTTATTCAGACAATTTCATGCTAAATAAATGGGGAACGTGTCCATGGGACACAGATGATGCCCCTGCTTGCATATCATATAAAGTTATAAACGGACATAAGGGAGCTACCATTTGATTTTTATGGGGGGGGGGGGGGGGGCGCTAGGATGAAATTTGAAAAAAATAGGCAGGACAGGAGTGTTGAGCAAAAAAAAAGGCAGGATGAGACACTTTGCAAAAAAAAAAAGGCAGGATGACAATTTATGTAAAAATAAAAGTCAGGATAAACTAAAAAAAAAAAAAAAGGCAGGACCGAATAGAATGAAAAATAGAAAGGCAGGACAGAGATTACAAATAAAAAAAAAATGCAGGACAAACTTTTTCATCCTAGCCCCCCAATAAATATCAATTGGTAGCTCCCTAACTGAAGAACAGTAAAAGTGACACTACCCAAATTTTTACTTGATCTGAGTTTTGTGGTAATAAGTATTGTGTATAATTTTCATAACATTTGGTTGAGGCAAATTAAAGTTAGAGAATGGAAACGAAAAATTCAGCAATTTTTCCATTTGTAAAGGGGCATAACTCTAGAACGGTTAAAGTGACACCACCAAAATTCAAAATGATCTGTGTTTTGTGGTAGTAAGCATTGTGTATAAGTTTCATAATATTTGGTTGAGGCAAACTAAAGTTAAAGAACAGAAACCAACTTTGGGACGTATGTACAGACGGACAAGGGTGAAACTTAATGCCCCCTCCGCTACGGCGGGGGCATAAAAATCAGATAAATTGTGAGAAACATGAGGATTTTTGTTATGGCTATGAAAGGTGGAAACGCCACTGAGGTTATTAAAGTTTATGTATGGAACCTTCTATATTTGGTTTGAATTTGGTGCCTTACCTAGAAAAAGAAACGAATATATTAATAACATTTTAATTTCGTGTTGTCAAAGAATGTGCAGTTTGGAATCACCACTCTTATGAATAAGGAATAACAATTGTACTAAACTAAACAAGATATATAAAATGAAATAAAATGCTCCGCAGGGCGCAGCTTGATACGACCGCAGAGGTCGAACCCTGAACAGTTGGGGCAAGTATGGACACAACATTCAAGCTTGATACAGCTCTGAATTTGGATTGTGATTAAATATTTGACACAGCATAGGTTTCTGACACAGAATGAATGTGGTCTAAGAACTTACAAATTTTAAATTGGACATTCACCTATTATGGTCCAATATCCAAAATCTAAATACATGGTTAGATTCAGCATATCAAAGAACCCCAAGAATTCAATTTTTGATGAAATCAAACAAAGTTTAATTTTGGACCCTTTTGATCTCAATGTGGACAAAAATGATAACAGGGCCCAAAAATCAAAAATCTAAATACATGGTTAGATTCAGCATATCAAAGAACCCCATATATTCAATTTTTGTTGAAATCAAACTAAGTTTAATTTTGGACCCCGATTTGGACCAACTTGAAAACTGGGCCCATAATCAAAATCTAAATACATGTTTAGATTCAGCATATCAAAGAACCCTAAAAATTAAATTTTTGTTACAATCAAACTAAGTTTAATTTTGGACCCTTTGGACCTTTATGTAGACCAATTTGAAAACGGAACCAAAAATTAAGAATCTAAATACACTGTTAGATTCGGCATATCAAAGAACCCCAATAATTCAATTTTTGATGAAATCAAACAAAGTTAAATTTTGGACCCTTTGGACTTCAATGTGAACCAATTTAAAAACGGGGCCCAAAATCCAAAAACTTAATACACGGTTAGATTCGGCATATTACAGAACCCCATATATTCAATTTTTGTTGAAATCAAACAAAGTTTAATTTTGGACCCCGATTTGGACCAACTTGAAAACTGGGCCCATAATCAAAAATCTAAATACATGGTTAGATTCAGCATATCAAAGAACCCCATATATTCAATTTTTGTTGAAATCAAACAAAGTTTAATTTTGGACCCCGATTTGGACCAACTTGAAAACTGGGCCCATAATAAAAAATCTAAATACATGGTTAGATTCAGCATATCAAAGAACCCCATATATTCAATTTTTGATGAAATCAAACAAAGTTTAATTTTGGACCCTTTTGATCTCAATGTGGACAAAGTTGATAACGGGGCCCAACAATCAAAAATCTAAATACATGGTTAGATTCAGCATATCAAAGAACCCCATATATTCAATTTTTGTTGAAATCAAACAAAGTTTAATTTTGGACCCCGATTTGGACCAACTTGAAAACTGGGCCCATAATCAAAAATCTAAATACATGGTTAGATTCAGCATATCAAAGAACCCCATATATTCAATTTTTGTTGAAATCAAACAAAGTTTAATTTTGGACCCCGATTTGGACCAACTTGAAAACTGGGCCCATAATCAAAAATCTAAATACATGGTTAGATTCAGCATATCAAAGAACCCCATATATTCAATTTTTGTTGAAATCAAACTAAGTTTAATTTTGGACCCTTTGGACCTTTATGTAGACCAATTTGAAAACAGAACCAAAAATTAAGAATCTAAATACACGGTTAGATTCGGCATATCAAAGAACCCCAATAATTCAATTTTTGATGAAATCAAACACAGTTAAATTTTGGACCCTTTGGACCTCAATGTGGACCAATTTAAAAACGGGGCCCAAAATCCAAAAACTTAATACACGGTTAGATTCAGCATATTAAAGAACCCCAAGAATTCAAGAATAAAACCCCATTGAAATTGATCAAGAAATAAGCAATTTATACGAAGTATCTTCTTTTGCACAATACTGTGCAATTGAATATTTCTTGCTATTGCGCAATACTGTACAATTGACAATTTCTTGCTATTGCGCAATATTGTGCTATTGGATATTTCTTGCTATTGCGCAATACTGTGCAATTGAAGATTTCTTGTTATTGCGCAATACTGTGCAATTGAAGATTTCTTGCTATTGTGCAATACTGTGCAATTGAAAATTTCTTGCTATTGCACAATACTTATTATATAATAATTTACACATCCTGTTTGGTGTGTATCTCCTACCATATCATTATTATTTGCTTTTAAATATTAATCAGAAATAACCAACTTAAAATGGAAAATTTTAAAAGAAAAAAAAAAGGAAAAAAAGAAAAAAAAAGAAAAAGAAAAAATCCCCCCCCCAAATTTTTTATACCCCCTTATGATTCATCACCCCCAAACTCAATCCCAGCCTTCCCTTTGTGGTATGGTACCTTGCAGTACAATTTCAGAGAGATCCATACACTTGAACACAAGTTATTGTCTGGAAGCTAGAAAAATGCTTATTTTTGGCCCCTTTTTGGCCCCCAATTCCTAAACGTTTCGGGCAATTACCCCCAAACTCAATTCCAGCTTTCCCTTTGTGATATGGAACCTTGTAGTACAATTTCAGAAATATCCAAACACTTACACACAAGTTATTGTCATGAAACTAGAAAAATGCTTGTTTTTTGCCCCTTTTTTGGCCCCTAATTCCTAACATTTTGAGGCAATTACCCCCAAAATCAATTACAGCCTTCCCTTTGTGATATGGAACCTTGTGGTACAATGTCAGAGAGATCCATACACTTACACACAAGTTATTGTCTGGAAGTTACAAAAATGCTTATTTTTGGCCCCTTTTTGACCCCTAATTCCTTAACTGTTGGTACCATAACCCCCAAAATCAATCCCAACCTTCCTTTCGTGGTATTGAACCTTATGGTAAAATTTCATGGAGATCCATTCACTTAAACTAAAGTTAGAGTGCGAAAACCAATGTGTCTTCGGACGACGCCGGACGACGACGACGACGACGCCAACGTCATACCAATATACGACCAAAAAAATTTTAATTTTTGCGGTCGTATAAAAATTACAATGCACACATCTATAAACCAATTAACCTGCTACAAACATGACAAAATAGTGAAAATACCTCACTTAAGTACAGGCAGAAGAAACCAGGATTTTGTGTTCATGACAAATGAAATTCAATATTTCATTAATCATTATATTTATTAATAAAAGGAAATATGGGGTAAACTTAAAAAGGACAGCAATCAAACAATCTTTCTGTGCTCCTGTCGGCATTTTCTACGATCCCCTCTGCCCTTTCTTTGACTTTGATCCCCTCTGTTCTGTCCTTTTGGGCTCCCCTCTGCCGTTTTTGTGCTCCCCTCTGCCGTTTTTGTGCTCCCCTCTGCCCTTTCTGTGTCCCCTCTCTACTTTCTATACACCCCTCAGTCCTTTCTGTACTCCCCTCTGCCCTTTCTGTGCTCCCTCTTTCCTTTCAGTTAACGCTCTACCTGTACACTTATTGGTGCTATGTATGTTGGTTTTCTGAATGAAATTAATTACTTTTCAGTGTAAACTAATCCCTTAAGTTCAATTAATAGAAAAAGCTTTTTGCGGCCCCATACATTTAGTATTATATATAAATCTAGCAATACAGTGGCGGGTCCAAAAGGGGGGGTCCGGGGGGCCCCTTTTTATTGACGATCAATGCTTTTGAATGGGGACATATGGTTGGACCCCCCCCCCCCCCCTTTTATCCTGGGTTAGAACCCCCCTTTTAAAAATGGCTGGATCTGCCCCTGGCAATATTATATTGTTTCATTTAATTATTTCAACTATTCATCTACGTGTATAAACATGATAAAATTGTCCTTTTTCAGACAAGAAAATGTGCTAACATGCCCTCCATCTAAAATCTGTACCTGTTTGCATTTAATTCTTTGCTATAACATTGTTTAATTATGTCATTAATTCATTAAAATGATTTCAACAATTGTAGTTCTATTATGTTTTCTTGTTCTTATCCATAAAAAAATGGGAAATAAGTTGTAATATTAAAGTAAATTTGATGAAAAAAATCTTTAAATGCAAACAAAAAAAGGGAAGGAGGGGTCTTTTTCCCAAGGGCCTTTAGTACAAATATATGATTATGATATTGTATAATTTGTGCATATGCATTAAACCTGCCTCTGCCGTACATGTAAGTCAATCTTTCAGCAAAAAATTAGAAGTTGAAAAAAAAAGTTTTCAATATTTTGATTCAGATGTTATCCCTTTATCATAAAAAAGCTTCTGTAAAATTTTCTATAAAAATTGATTGAAGGTTTTGTTAAGTCATATTGATGAATGAAAAACTTTTACCTTAGACTGTCTTTAAATGTTAGCTGCATAATAATTCAAGTCTATTTATCAGTAAAATATGGAATATTGAAAAAAATATATTTTCAAAAATTACTTGGGTACTTTCATATCAAATTTTTCTTTTAATAATGCTTTGATATGTAAAGTGAAGTTAAGATGAAAGTGAATTAATTGAATTTGATATTAGAATTGAATAGTTTGTCCCATAATTGAATTGCTGCTGCATTTTCTGATTTGACTTAATTGTTTTATAGTTGTTTTATGTGGAATGTTTTTAATAAATAAAATATAAAATAATTTTTTTTTTTGGCATCATGACATTAGATATCATATACATAATATACATTGTACATGTACATTTATTTAGACTAGTATATATGTACATGGAAATGTATATTATTTTTTAAACATGTTAAAATGATTTAGACATCATTCCCAATACTTTAAACAAAGTACAAAAAATGTACATATACAGTTTACATTGTACAATGTACATGTACAGTTTGCACATTTTGAACATCTGACAAATTAAGTTTCAGTCACATTGCACTCATTATTACACATGTACAGTACATGTACAAAATTATGTAAATGTAAAAATAAAAGTAAAAGCCAAGGTTAACCATGATATAAAAAACAGCAAAGATTAGTAAAAAAATATCAATATACATTGTACAGTACATATGTAAGAGAAAAATACTAGTATCAAAATATAAAATTGTGTAGAATAAAATGGGACTAATATAAAATAAGGAGATGTGGTATGATACGTGTATATCTTCATTTATATATGACATGTAAATGTATATGCATATATATCTATATATGCATTGTAAAAAACCAGGTTCAGCATGTTCAGTGTACATGTATCTGAACTAATTGAGGGATTGATTTAATGTTTGGTGTATAAATGTATCTAAATGTTAGGATGCCTGTAAAAGTGATTTATGAATACAGCATTTGTTTGTACTAGTCTACATTGTACAAAATGTACATACAAATACATGTATGTACATTTTCCAAAATTTAATTAATTTTACATGTCCATGTACAAAAAAAATAGCTTAAGTTTCATGTAAATTTCTGAAAAATGGAGGCATATTGATTGATGATTTTGTTTATGTACAAAAATTCATGCACTTATCAAACAATACGCCAAATATAAGACTTAAAAGTACAAATGTAGGAACTGCAAAATGGATCAAAAGATGACAGAAAAGACACAAAGACTAAAACATACATGTATCATGGAATTAAAAATTTATTGAGAAATAAATTTTGATTTTCATTATGATCATTAATTTTTTGTCCCAATATATATCATGAATTGTCATGGATATACACTGTACATTGTACATGTGTGAAGAAAATATGCATTTTGCTACATATTCCAATACCACATTAAAAATAGTAATTAGAAAAAATATTTTTTTATTAAACATTTTACCCAGCAAGCTACAACATGCACAATGTACATGTAATAGGCTTTTGAATCACAAATTTTTGCCATATACACACTGTATGTATTTATAGTGTACCCGATTATTTTTCTCCCCATATACATGTATCATAAATAATGGTAAATCTTGATAATAAAATAATAATCAATGTTTTGTATTCAAATAACCATTGCATATTTTTTGATGTACAAATGTTAACAGATACATCATGTAAAATGTTGCACAAGATCTAGATTTAAAACTGATCAGGGACTGTCCCTGAACATGCTGAACTGATTAAGCAATATCATGAATACTATTGATGGTTTCTAATTCACATAACTGCATATATGCACACTAAGGTAAATTACTGCGTTCATTAATAAAAATTCCTATAAATCTAAAGTTCATATTTTCAAAAGTTACAGTATCACTTAATCAATAGTTATGCCAAACCATATTAACAATATTTCAACGAAGTCAAGGGAGTAGCTTGCCGCAGCTATCCCTCCAATTATTCTGATGTCCTCTCTCTTTGGAAAAGTACACTGAGACATTGTAAACACGTCTAAAACAATCTCAGATAACTTAAACAACACAACAAGTTTCCCAAGGTGCTCTTGGTACCAATAATGATGATACAATTGTTCAGTGTCCAAAACAATAATAGTGAGTATAACTAAACATATCACATATCCGGCGATCGCCCTCACTGTTATTTTGTGACTTTTGAACCCTTGAACTTTCCACACGTAGAAGATTAATGATAGTGATACAATCAAACTAAATAGGAAACGAACTGTCAATATGCGTCCAAAATATAATCGTTCGATTTTTATTGGGTCCTCGTCGAGGTCTGGAGGCCACACGAAACGAGTCAAAAGCCATAGACTGAAATCTATCTTTAGTGGCATTCTGGATTACAAACTGGAATGTGTAAAATTGAAATAATAGCTATCACTTCTTAAGAGACACCATATAAATCGATGGAAAGAGTGTTGATAAATTCTGTACGAGTCAAATTCTGGGATGTTGCAACAGGAAATGAATAGTTAAAAGTCTTTATTTATTCGGAACGACACAAATTTCCGGTATTTTGCAAAGTCAAGTCAGTACAAGCAGAGACATATGTATTATATGTCTCTGGTACAAGTAAAGGTATTTAAAAACCCGAATAAATACACAATAAAACACATCAATCCTTATAAAACAAATTCAATACAATACATGCAAACATTAAGCACACATATTATGACCATAGCAGTACACGAGATAAGCAAAAGATGATCAAATTACACAAGTGTGTCAGGGGCAATTTTGTTTTCCCTTTATTTATTTCTTATTGTTAATTATATAAATAATAGAGTGGCACCGTACATAAACTACTGACTGTTAATGTAATATCGTACGGATAAGAGCAAGACATATTACGCTGAATATTAAGTCAAAATAACTAATGTAAAATAAAAAGAATAAAGACTATTTACTAGAAAAAATAAACTTGGCACTTAAAAAAAATTAAAACACCTAATTAAAAGTTAAAGAAAAAGGCGGGTTAGGCGCCGATCACCTTTGATTAGGGACTGTAAAATATAAATAGACTCCGATAAGGCCACCGAATGGTGTAACATGTGCTCCCGCGTGTGCCCCCAATAGACCTACAATACAGAAAGCCCAGTTAATTCAGTAGACAGACAGTCACGGACCGTACGGTTGCCTATAATTGCTTACATCCACTTCAGTTGTACTTTGGTGGATAGTTGTCTCATTGGCAATCATACCACATCTCCTTTTTTATAGTGTTAAAAGTAAAATTTCAGAAATAAGCACTTATGTTGAGCCAGAGACATATATACACAGAGATTGGCAACTCCGTGAAATCACGTTTATCTATGATCACGCGACCCGGAATGAGACTTGCCGATGAATTACTCTACAAATCGGGGACGAATACCCCCCGATAGCTAACAACAAAAAAAAAAAAACAATGGGAAAACGTACTTCAGATCAAATTATTTCTTTTTTGAAAATCGTTGTATTAAATTTTATGCATTTATTGAGAAAAATGTTTTCTGCTTTTCGACATTTCTAATTATTTTAAGATTGAAATCTGGAAATTATCATAATATTAATAATGCCAGAAACATTTCTGCACTTCATTTCTTTTCTAAATTATGTCCTTAAATACACAGTGAAATTATGTCTAAATCCAATTATTGTGGATTCACAGGTGTGCGATTACGTAATTTATTGCCCTCCGATCACCTGACTGAATCTCAGTTATTATTTGGGTTTTTTTTGGTTATTTTTTCGCTTTGTTTTTTTAAAACTTAATATCACCGATTCTGATTAAAAACAATTTGTATTATAAGTATAGTAAAATTCTCTGCTGAACTGTAGACTTTCAGTATCCGTTTATTCTTTACTATCGGGAAGTGAACCTCGAGTTTAAAATTAGACAGATTTGAAATTGTGCATAAGTTCTATCTGATCTTTTGTTGGTTTGTGTTGCTCAAGGTAATTTGCGGTGCAGTGCTATGCTGGCTGTTATTTTCTTTTCTTTTGTTATTTTTTTCAACTGTGTTAAACGACCTTGTCATTTTTGTATTCTAAAGATTTAAGACAAAGCTTAACCACTAATATCTTTTGGTTTGTTTTAATAGGATAGTGTCTCATTCCCTGAATTTGTTATATACAGGAATTCATTTTAATATCAGTTTTTTTTATAAGCAAATAAACTGCTAGGGCTCTTCACACATCTTATTATTAGGACAGAATGCATCAAGAGGTACATACATGTATCAAGTCACTGATATATAAATATACATACCATTAAAACGTTTAAACCCGCTGCATTTGTTTGCACCTGTCCTAAGTCAGGAATCTGATGTTCAGTAGTTGTCGTTTGTTGATGTGGTTCATAAGTGTTTCTCGTTTCTCGTTTTTTATATAGATTAGGCCGTTGGTTTTCCCGTTTGAATGATTTTACACTAGTAATTTTTTGGGGCCCTTTATAGCTTACTTTTCGGTGTGAGCCAAGGCTCCGCGTTGAAGACCGTACTGTGACCTATAATGGTTTACTTTTATAAATTTTTACTTAGATGGAGAGTTGTCTCATTGGCACTCATACCACATCTTCTTATATCTATATAATGTGCTTTTGAACTACACAATAAAATTGAGAATGGAAATGGGGAATGTGTCAAAGAGACAACAACCCGACCATAGAACAGACAACAGCAGAAGGTCACCAACAGGTCTCCTTAAGCATACATAGATGTGTTAAGAATATTTTTGTTGTTAGGTTGTTGTCTCAATGACATATACACCACATCTCCTTTTACTCATATAGCATCTGTACCCTTTCAATGTTCTGCAGAAAATATTTGCATACACATTTTTCAAAACACGAGAGGTGATTTAGTGATCACAGAATGAGGACATGTAAAACTGAAACAACACAACAGTTAAATAGAAAAAAGCACCGTTGTATAAAAAGGACTGAAACAAACATAGGTGATGACCAATATGAACCCATAAAGACTAGTGTACCAGTAGAGTGAACATTTCTTGCTTCTTATTCAACATCTTTTGTCATTTCATGTAAACAATTAAATATGTTACTTTCCATATACATGTAGAGGAAGGAATTTGTGAATCGAAATATGTTGCTTTTTAGTACTGTCAAGTTATATATTCACAGGGGTGCTGTGACTCTGATACACCAACTAAAGCTGATCTACTAAAACTATGTAAAAAGAAACGAACCGCAAAAACTTAACAACGAACCATGAAATAAAAATGAGATCGATCTTGGTAGGCTAAAACCAGCCAGAGGACTATCAGTATGTACGCCAATTATAATTGAAGGCGGCCTAGTTTATAGTAATGGAAAAAGGACCCAATCACGAAAGCCGAACCTTGTTCACTGTTCCATGAAAAGAGTTCCAAGGTTAGGTGAATCTTATTTCTGAATGATAGATCACATAATGTCAGAAAGTAATATTTGGCCATATCGAAGAAGCCAGTCTGAGATAAATTTTCTAAAAATTGTTGACACAGTATGTCTCTTTGGCACAACATATCTATTAAAGTCTAAGGGGACAGCAATTGTTATCGACACATGTTCAAAAATAACCCTTAGGCATTTTCTTATGTGTTGCTGATGTGCTGTTTAATTGAATCTTGTTCAGACTTCTGAACTTATTAAATTTTTTCAAGACACTACCAACTTTGTGTAATCAACTCTTCTTTCAATTTCAGTCAACTCAGATAATGAAACTTCACATAATGTTCGCACATCTTAATATGGATATTTTAGTCTTTGTAAAATGTTGTATGGTTGCCAATGAAATAACTACCAACTAGAGTCAAAATACTGTGAATGTAAGCAGTTATAGGTCACCGTACGGCTTTCAACAATGAGAAAAATTCATACCCTAAACGAGAAAAACCATCGGCCTGATTGTTATTGCACCAAGCCGTGTTTCTCCCCAGTCTGTTAGCGCTGCATCATTAGCGTATCGCACTTCAACGCTGTTCTATTGGACAGACCGCAGCGCTATCCAATCATATTGCGGTGCTGTGCTGTCCTGCAAAATTTCGCTCATATGATCACCTGGTTGATTTTTCTTTATTGTTTACTTTACCTCGGAGAGGAACCATTTCAATGAAAGAAAACATAATGCTGTTCTTGACATAACTTTAAGTAGAAAAATATTTTTTACTCGATTCTTTTTTAAGTAGAATTTTTTTTTAATACAGAAATTTCATGAAAGGAAAAAAAAAGTCGGTGAAAAGTACGCACAAAATCATTTCCAATCATTTTTAAGATAAGTTTAACTCTTCCTCTAACCAGGTGTTATTGTCCCTATTGTCCCTCTTTTGAAACCCCTACGATTAGTTCAGTATTGTTTGGAATTTCAACTAAACTGTTGCCGTGAATCTGCATTGATTCAGAGTTGCATTTCAGATGGGTCATACCTGTCAACTGACCCGTATCCTGCGGGCAACACCCGAGAATGTCACCTCTCACCCAGGATTTTTAAGATATCATGACCAGAGAGTCATTACAAGCTATTTTAGTTGCACTACGTACGTCTTGTAATGAATTTGTGTAAACACAGGGACAGTCTATACTAACTAAGTATATTATAGACTGTCCCTGGTCAACATTATTGTATTACATTATTTTAAAGTATGTATCAATCTGAACATTTTGTAACAATCGCATGTCCCCTCCTATATATAAATTTTTATATATATGGACCTTTTTAGTGGAAAAAGTAAAGATTATATTCCTTATAACTTTGGTTTGAACCCATGCCGACTCTACATATAATCGATTCATTCATTTATACAAGGACGTATAACTAACACCGAATATACGTCCTTGATTAATACACTAAACTGTCAACTGAAAGTATATCTATTTAGACATATCATTGATAACAAATAAAACAAGAGGCTGTCAGAGTGACAGCAAACCGGATTTTTTTAACATTTATTTGTGTCCTGGCATTTTTCAATATCACAAGGACCATAACTCCTGAACCGTAAAAGTGACAATCATTAATATTGAACTTGTCGTAATGACCTCCATTTTGTCATCAGTAACAACATACTAAAATTTGAAAAAAACTTTGGTTGAACGGTCCACGAGTTAAAGTACGGACACGACTGGGAACACCATTTTTCAATGATCTTGCAAGAACGACAACTCCTGAACGGTGGAAGTGAAAATCGTCAATATCAAACTAGACCTCCATTTTGTCATCAGTAACAACATATTAAAATTTGAAAAGCTTTGGTTGAACGGTTCATGAGTTAAAGCACGGACACGACTGGAAACACCATTTTTCAATCTTTCAAGAAACAGAACTCCTGGACGATAAAGTGAAAATCGTCAATATCGAACTTGACCTCCATTTTGTCATCAGTAACAGCATATTAAAATTTGAAAAGCTTCAATTGGACGGTTCATGAGTAAAGGCACGGACACTGTTTGGCAGCCCGGATGCCCGCCTGCCGTACATC